GTATCCTCCAGCTCTTCAGGAAATTGTCCCAGTCCGCTCCACTGGCACTGCAAGCATGGGACCTGGGTGTGCACATCATTTGCTTAGTTTGCTTTAATCCTCTAGCTCCTGACATAGAGGCATGGCAGCCCTTTAGCTTAGGCTTGCATTAAGTGAATTTGCATCAAGTGAAAAGTTACGGCAAACTTAAAACTGAGGATTCTGCAATCAAGTGGTAAAAATAACTCCAGCAGCCTCTGCCAGCTACAATAATAAGGCTTTCCTGAACACAGCCTTGGCTAAGTACTAGAATAACAATGTCACAGGAATTCTAGAAATGCTAGATCTGCAGTTATGCAATCTAATTTCTGTCGCATGGACAATCAAACCTCACACTTCAGGCCACTAACGGGACATCAGGCTAGAGGAGAAAGGCACCCCTTGCCCACACTCATTCACAGTGTGACACGAGGCAGCAAGCATCAACATTCCCCCCATCTTCTCTGGGCGCATTTGCTATCCTCTACTTTCTCAGGCAATGCACTGCACGACACAGAGCAAAGCTCTGGACTGGCATAGCAACTCATGGCTCTCTGCCTCCGTTCTCATCTCTACCTGCTTTTGCAGAGATCCCTTCCCTGGGTTTTGCTTCCTGGATGTGGCTGCCAATGCTTCCGGGGGATGAAAGCCAGATTTTCCTGTGTATGAGAGAGAGGGATGTGCTGGCGGTTGCATTTTCCAAGAAGAGGTGTACAGTACAGCTTCTCCTTTACAAGATTAAACAATTCTAAGAATGTACCCTGTGTGGCTCATATCCTCTGTCTTTGTAAACTTAACCTGTGCTTTCCTGTAATGCCTTCAGGACACATTTTCTATGCTCTGTTCCTAACATCTTAAGCCAGTCCTCTTTGCCAGTTTGTCCAGAAAACAGGCAAATGGAAATAAGCAATTGGGCTTTTAGAAACTTGCATAAGAATCTGCGTGTGAGTGCCGAGCTCTGGCAAAGGAGGCTCTGAGCCCAGGAATGTACCTACTTTCTCCTTCCTGTATTTAGCTGACTAAGATTCCTAAACAGCGGCTCCACATCTTAAATTATAGGTTAGGACTAGAGCGCTTAGCCCACAGTTTGGATCTCTTGTGTAATTCAGCTGCAGCTATATTCAGATTTTTCCAAGAGATGGCCCTGCCTCTCCCAACACCTCAAGCTCTTCCTCTCAGGATCAGTATTCCCAGCTGGGGGACTGGATACCATTGCACCACCCAGGTGAGTTGCTCAGGACTAAGGTAAACGGCTCCTTCCCTGAAGTGCTGCTTCCTCAGCTCTCACATGCTGTTGAGACTGGTGCAATTCTGTAAAGATGCATATGTGAAACGAGGCAGAGCAGAATCTGGGAGCCTAAGTCAGACTGTTTTCCTTTGCACTTTAAAAAATAAGTTACAATAGTGATGTTAATACATTTATAAAAGCAGTGCCTATGGTAACTGCTCACATGGTTTTGGCAAGATTACAATCTGCCGCTAATGTGTCCCGTTAGCTTTGTCTTTGGAGGTAAGCAGAATCCCTCTTTATCAGCTGGAAAGCTGATGGAAATTGCTGACCAGAAAAGGATGCTATAGAAAAAGCAAAAGGATTGGAGGACAGCTAAAATGCAACACTAAATAACAGTAATGAGTAGGACAACCACCAACACTGCTAAGCAAAAACTGTTCTACTTGAGAGGGAACAGTACAATTCATGGGCATGCCTGCACAAAAAATATTCCCCTGTGGCTTGGTCACATGCAATCATGAGCAAAACTGAAGCTGTACATTTCCTATGGTAGGGAGAATAGTTTTTGACAAAATGGGATGTGATGGAAGGTGTCTGGAATAAACATTAAAAAATAAAAAAGTTCATGGTCTCAGAGGAAAAAAGAGAGCAGACCCTTTCAGACAGGCAGAACTGGTGAAGCACATTGCTTTTTCAGGCTCATGAAATGTGGTAACTGGCCAGTTGGCTACTTCATCTAAGGAGAAGGGGCCAAATTGCCTCTTCCATTCTTTCAGTGAAGGTGCAAATCTGAGTCTGCTCCCCCTGTGCTTCTGCCAGGTTTATTTACCATGGAGCCTGAAGGAAACAGATACTGGTTTAATCTGTCATGCGTGGTGGTAAATCAGCAGGTTTACAAGCTACTGATGGATAGAGGGAATAATTGCTTGTGTTGTTTCCTTAAACTCTATAATCTTAAAAATAACCTAGATGTTATTGAAGGAGTTACTAGTGATTGAGCGAGTGGTTCTAGTCAACCAAGCAGTTCTTCTTTTGTCATAAAACATGTAATAAATTTAATACCTGCTTTGGCACAAATTAGTGACTGACTGTAAGAGCACTGAAGATAAAAATCTGACTTACAGTGTACAAGTGGTTTTAAAGTTCCAGTTCTAAAACAACAGTCCTTGATCAAAGTAGCATAGTTGCAGGGCACACTGATTAGAAGCTGAAACATTAATTACAGCTGAGGATCAAGCATACCTCTTATCTACACTTAAATAAAAAATTAATAAAGAAGCAAAGATTTGTCTTAAGGCCAAAGCGTCCTGAATTACTACTGACAAAGCTCAAAGGTTTATAGCATGGAGACATTTCAGTACCTCAACCGGCTCTTGCGCTGCTCTAAACGTGAGCCCTGCTTACTTGGGAATTGCAAGAATAAAGGCCTACCTGAAATGAGTAGATAGCATAGGCAACCACATCTTAGATAATGTATGCTAGTGAGTATAACCCACAGTAAGGAGGAGGAGGTCTGGCGTTCCTGGTAAAGGTGGCTGCTCCCTGGCCAGGCAGCCTGGGAGGCACTGCTCCATCAGCTGCTGTGATTGAAGTGCCGACCCGCACGACACACAAGAGCAGTCATTTCACAAACTTCTATCTGCACTTAAGTAAAAGTTGGTTTTCAGTTGGTAATCTCTGATCTGGTCACTACCAGTTAAAGACTTTATTTCCGTGACAGACAAAAGAGATTAAACCACCTCAGGCTGAGCAACGGGGTAGAGGGGAAAGATCCAGGTTTGTGCCTTCTCTGATGGAAAGATGGATGAGCAGTGGTGATCTGAGTCATCCAGCTTTAATATGGTCTGTCAGGAAACAATGGAATAAGATACGACACTTAAGGCCACACTTCTAAAAAGCGGCAAAACCACAACATGACTAGCCTGTGCAGCTCATCAGCACAGTTTACCACAGCCCATTACTGCAGGATTTGGAAGGATTAGATATGTGAAATGCTAGAAATGATAGTTTCTCCATTAGAATGAAAATAAACATATGGTATAAAGTTTCCAGACTTGCAGATGTCCCAGGCCTTCAGCTGGGATGGTTCAATAAAGGCGGGATTTTCCAAAAACTGTTCCCTAGGTTGCCTTGCATTTTTATATGAAGCACCTTAGACCAGAATCTGTCAGAACTAATATACCACATCAGATGAAATGAACTAGTGCAATGAAAACATTTATATTTAATGTAAACCCATCTCCAGCCATTGGTAATCAAGGCCTGATCCAAAAAAAGCCTCCTCAAGCCCCTAAAGAATAAGATTAATCCTTGAGATGGAGGAGTCTTTCACAAGATTATTTGTACAGATGTGTGTAAGTCCCATGCAAAAGATTAAGAAATACATAGAAGTTCAGCTCTAACATAAGTTAACTGATTCAGCCAAAGGCAATTACAGTAACTGCAAGCTTTCTCATTTTCCTCTATTCCACCCTCCTCCCAAGTCTGCAGTTGTGCTGTTCCCCTATATGTGAGACTTTACCCTTCTTCACCTATTCCTTCTGCTTTTGTTACTGACCAAAATGGCCCTGGTGTTTGAGAAAAGATGCAACTCAATAATCAACATTTCCCTGATTGGTGGAGTTTTGCTTACAGCTTCAGGAAATGACTGGGAGCCGTGTTCATGCAATCTCTCAAGAGAGCAAAGAGAAGATAGAGGGAATTCTAGGATCAGACCCACACCCCATTTTCAGGCTCTTCAACAAAAGGGAAAAAGTTTAAAAAAAAAAACACACTTTTTTTTTTTTTTAAAATCTGTATTAAGGTAATGCGTCACTGTACTCTAAATGTTCTGCTTTCATACGCTTGAATAGTAGAAGTCAAACAGGCTGAAGCAATCAAAGTCACAGTTTGAAAAATCAGGTTTCATAGAGAAACACTGATTGCACTTTTTTAAAACATATTTCTCTTTTGGATAACTAGTCATCACTTAAGACCTGAGCTCACAAGACCTTTAAGCTGAGCCCCATTGCTCTGTGCTAGTCAGCCTGAGCTTTGCATCTGTGGCTACAGTCTCATGCAGCTCATTGCTGAGACAGAGGTCTGCGGTTACTGTCATCAGTAACTGCAGGCTTACAGTACTCATGTCAGAGCTTTTTGCCTGCTGCCTTCCTCAAATACTTTCTTGCAGGTTCAGGCAGGGACAAAGCAGCGAACATGTTGGAGGTTGTCACTGCTCCATGCCTCGCGCTTCTGTAACGCTGCCCGACATGCCCCAAGTGAAAACTAGCCATTGACTGCTCCTGAAAGCCTTTTAGCTGCCGTGGTCTTCATTACATCCTACTAACAACTAGCAAAGGGCCCTGGCAGGGGCCAAGCGTGCCTTTGGAAGGCTCCCGCAGAGAAAGCAGCAAAGCATTCAAACAAGTGTTTCGTTGTGTCTCTCAATTAAGCAGACAATATTGCATTGTCACTGCTGTAAATATTTCAGCATGCCAAATTGTGCCGGTTTGCCTCTCAGCCCTTACTCACGTCCGTAATAAATAAGGGCAAGCGTGAGCAGCTTTGCATTTTAAGTAACCCTTAGGCACTGCATCCTGGAGCAGAAAGTCCCAAGTCCAAACAGAAGTTGGTCCAGTTGTGTCCGATAGCGACCAGCCCGGATGGGACACTGAAGAGCAGAGCAAGCAGGCAGGGATACAGTCCCATTACCCCAGAATAATCTGCCACCAGCCTACAGCTCTAGGACTAAAAAACAGAGAGATTGACCCACATGTGTCTTCAGGAGTCCTTCATAGATCTTTCTTCCATGAATGCGGAAGGGCAGACCAGCATCCTTAGTCGTTACGGCATCCTGTGGCAGGTCTGAGTTTCACACCTTCTAGTAAAAACCGCTTCTTTCTTTTATGCAAAAACCCCAGACAGCCAAGCCAGTGGCTGCTGTCAAAGGGCGGCTTGGAGGGAGAGGAGGGAGACTGACTGCTGTGGTAAAAAGTGGTCCTTCCCAACAGCGCCTACTGCCTGTCCTGCTTCTTGTCTTCCCTTGGCATCAGCAAAGCCAACAAATTTGACATCCTCTCTTCATACCCTATCTCATTTCCAGATGTCTCTGGCATCTGGTTTTTTCATAGGGAAGCAGCATGGTCTTGTCCCTTCACTTGGAGGTAGAAAAATTCACCTCTTGGCATTTGCTGCTGGTAGACGGCAGCACAGCAGAGCAGGTTGACTCACCCTATTTCAGTTTTCCTTTAAGTGAATCAGATGTCTCTGTCGCAGCAGAGCAAGTCAAATCCAAATTCCTGCTCTGCTGAAAGCTCTACTAGGCCATAAGGTATTCAACCAGCCTCTGATCAGGCAGGTGGTCAACCAGCTCTGC